TAGATAGATAGATAGATAGATAGATAGATAGATAGATAGATAGATAGATAGATAGATAGATAGATAGATAGATAGATGGATGGATGATAGAGGCGGGATGGAGGGAGAGAAGGAGGGAAGAAAAAAGGAAGGAAGATGAAGGGAAGGAAGGAACATGAAGGGAAGGAAGAAAATGAGAGAGAAGGAAGGGAGGGAGGGAAGGAAGTTGAAGGGAGGGAAGGAAAATGAAAGGGAAGAAAGGACAAAGGAAGGAAGGACAAAGAAGTAAGGAAAAATGAATGGTAAGGAAGGAAGGATAAAAGAAAGGGAAGGAGAAGAAGTAAGGAAAAATAAAAAGGAAGGAAGGAGGAAGGAAGGAAGATGATACCGGGAAAAGGGGGAAGGGGGGAAGATGAACGGAGGGAAGGAAAAGTGAAGGAAGGACAAAGAAGTAAGGAAAAATGAATGGGAAGGAAGGAAAAAAGAAAAGAGAGGGGAGAAGTAGGGAGAAAAATAAAGGAAGGGAGGAAAGAAAGAAAAATGAATGGGAAGGAAAGAAAAAAGGGAAATGAAGGCAAGGAAGGAAAAATGAAAGGGAAGGAAGAAAGGAAGGGAAAATTAAAGAGAAGGAATGAGAAAAGCATGAAAGGAACAACAAATGAAAGAAGGGAGGGAGGGAGGAAGTTAGACTTTCTAAGTGTAAAGTCCTGAATGGATCTATTCCAGGTTAAAGTGAAATTTGCAGGGCAAAGTGAAATAAACAGCTTCCCAATTCTGAAGGGTCCAGATTTCCCTTAGAGGAAAATGCCAGGTTGTGGAGGGTGTGTGTGTGTGTGGGGGTAATCCACTGACACATGTCAACTCCATAATGAACCCGCCGTTGCAAAGCAGAAGGGATCAAAAGTGGACAAATTGACATTGACAAAGTGACATTTTCTATATTGTTTCATTTCTTGAGTTGCCTTCATTTTCCGTTTTCCCTCTTCCCCTTCCCCTGGCTTGCATGCAGGAGGCGAGCAGATGGCCACAAATATTGCAGCCAAACAAACAATCAGTTGCATATTTAGAGAGCTGTTAAGACTCCGATTCCTTTTTTTTATTATTGTTATTATTTGTTTTGTTTTGTCTTCTCCCTGGCAGCCCGCTGAAAAACCCGTAAACAAATGAGATACAAGGGTAGTTTGTGTAAGTATTTTACAGCTCGCTGACTTCCATATGCCCGGGATTTGCAGGAACACAAAGGGCTTGACTCCTGCACCAATTGCTTAATGTGTGTGTGAGGGGGAGACGACAAACACAAAACACACTGCCTTGGAAATTGGAACCCAATTGTGGAATTTTGCACAGAAATCCTGGCTGATGCAGATCGAAAGATGCCTTTGGTTTTTTTTTTTGAACGGTGGGGGGAGAAAGTAAATTAAGTGCAGGTCCTAATTTTGTTTGCCTGCTAAAGTGGGTCGGATTTAGAAAAATGAATGCACCCAGATGTGTGTGCAAGTGGTTTGTTAAGCTGTTTTTTTTGTTTTCAGTATGGTCAATTCTCCCCCCCCCCAAAAAAAATAACCTTTATTAAAAGGGTTAAAATGTGGCTTATGTGGATGCAAGCCAATTGGCGTGATGCATGGTATCATTTGCAGCAAGCGTTTGGGCAAAGGACATAATAAATGCAGGTACACGACATTCAATGTATGCAACGGATGCGCTTCTGGGTAAATATAAAAGAATTTGAGCTACTTTTGACTCCAATAATGTCCATGGGGCAAGGTACCTGATGTATCTTTTACACAAACCACTTCTATTTACGCCAATGGCGTAGCTGAGGGAGACCCGCTGCCTAAAATGGCCCCCGTTTGACTGGGCCCCCAAAGCGGGTACCCCTTTTCCTCCAACTAGGCCAGAAACATCAAGGTTTTTCCTATTTTATTAGAAAAAGGGACTTGGAAAAGGGAAGCTGCCATCACTTCTGGACCGGAGGACTTTTCGGGCCTAGTCCCCCACCTGGGCCCTTTCCAAGCCTAGGGACTTCAACTCCCAGAATTCTCATCCCTGGCCACGCTGGCTGTGGCATTGTGGGAGTTGAAGTCCACGCACACCTGGAAAATGGCTTTGGTGGGGAAGGACGGCTCTGGAATGCAGTCGTGAGGAGAAAAAAGGATCTGCTTCCATCCTAACTGGTTGGAGGGTGTCGAGCTTCGACGGCCGTTCGGATGAAACCCCAAACCCAGAGTCAAGAAGCTCATGAGAGTTGATGAGCCTCCAGGAGAGAAAACTCACCTGGTTTTGCCTCCAAGATATGCCCAAATAGAGCCATTTTTGGCGGCCTGGGAGCCTTTTGGGGGAGGAAACTGAAGGCCTCAAACTGATTTACAGGTCAAAACAATCAACCAGCCACATTTGTGGACCTTGTTTGTGACTCCAACCACAAATAAACCTGGTTTGTTTCAACTGGACAGGCCAAAAGAGAAAAGGGCTTGGAAGCCCCAGAGCTCCATAAAATCCAAGGGGAAGCCCGATTCAGAGAGAATTGGGGGGTTGCAGAAACTAAACCATGAACTGGAGGCTTTCCAGAATAGACCAGACAACCATTTAACCAGGATGGTATAAGGTCTCTTGCCTTGGAGCAGGGGGTTGGACTAGAAGACCTCCGAGGTCCCTTCCAACCAAGCCTATGATTCTATGTTCTATGAAACTGGGTTTAATGTCATGGACGGTGGCCCAAGGGAGAAGGCCAGGAGAGGGACGAACCAACATCTGCAGAGCGCAAGAATCAACATGGACTCAACTCCAAGGATCCATTCTGGGAATGAAGAGCCTGAACATACAGGTAGCTCTATCTATCTATCTATCTATCTATCTATCTATCTATCTATCTATCTATCTATCTATCTATCTATCTATCTATCT